GCCCCTTCTCACATGGAATGGTTCCCTCCCTGTCTTCACCACTCACCAATGACAGGCACTAATTATCTCTGTCCCCATTCCAGTATGACACTGTACAACTGTCTGTTGGTGTCATGTTCCCAAAAATGACTTTATTGAGTTCAAATTTTGGTTTTCAGGATCTGTGCACTCATTTTGAATTCAGATACTCCACCTCGAGCTCAATTTGTTAGTCTGATAAAGCCTTCTAAAATCTTTCTAGTTATCAAACACATGTAGGTCCATTTAAGTGGATTTCTCAGAGTGTACATTGTCTTCCCACATTTCCAGGCCCTGACGTGCCAGTAGCCAGAGAAACCACAGGAAGACTAAGAGTACCCTTCCTGATTCTTCAGTGGCTCCTCAAATCCACCTATAGATTTTCAATCTTACAAAGAGAACTTTCAGTCTTACAACTGAGACCTGAGGGACACTAACAAAGCCAGACACTATTGGACAATGTGTCCTTGTCGGCAGAAATGAAAAATAGGCCACCACAAATTGGCTCAACATAAGTAATAAAGCAAGGTTTAGTCACTCACTCAACATGTGCTGCAAAGACTAAACGGGGCCACTGAGCAAAACAGAATGAATGACATGGCCACCATGTCATCAAGCACATAGTCTCTCAAAAGTAAATAGCTCAAGTAAAGTAGTCAGTGAGATACAAGGAGCTATGGGAGGTGAGAGCAGATAGAGGTTTCTTTGGCTGGCTAGGGAGGTGGCAGAAGAGGCAGCAGAAAGGAAGGGAGAATTAGGACAACTCAGTGGAGGAAACAATACGTCTAAAAGGGCAGATGGGATGGGAACAGTGGAGAAGTGAGAAAAAAATAAGTATCAATGGGTTGAAAAACTTCGCTTGATCCATAGGGTCCATGAATACTGCTGGCGGGAAATAAAGCTTGGAAAAACACCAAGAGGCAAAGCTGAATGAGATCATTTCCCATATCAGGATCACCCAATCAAAGGATATTTATATCAAAGAAAAGAAGCAACCCATCAAAAGACACAGGAAGGTTGGGGCGCCTGGGTGGCTCAGTCGTTAAGTGTCTGCCTTCAGCTCAGGTCACGATCCCGGGGTCCTGGGATCGAGCCCCGCATCGGGCTCCCTGCTCCGTGGGAAGCCTGCTTCTCCCTCTCCCACTCCCCCGCTTGTGTTCCCTCTCTCACTGTGTCTCTGTCAAATAAATAAATATAAAATCTTTAAAAAAAAAAAAAGAAAAAGACACAGGAAGGTGGGGAAGAAAAAAGAAAGCAAAAAAAAAAAAAATCAGAACCTAGGATAAAAAGGAAAAATAAATATAGGTAAATAAAGAAAAGCAAAGGGTGAGAAGAGAAGAAGACAGATATTGTCCTCCCATTAACAGGAGGCTCCTCCATTATTTATTTCCCTTCCTTGACATTTAAATGTACTGGTTAGTGGCCTCTCTTCCCTCCTGAAGTGAAGCTCCAGACTTAGATTGCTAATCTTTATTTGTCTTCCATCTCCATATGCCCTTAGTTAACCATCACTTTCCCTAAACTGCCTAAGCCACCCCCAGCAAGATAGTCAACACGACTGACCAAAGAAGTACTGACAAAAGAAAAGCATGACATTAAGAGAACAGCTCACTGTCTCCAACATACCTGCTAAGAGAGGAGAAAATCAAATGAGGTTCTTTACACTCACCTGAGGGAAGGAAGAGGGGGGTCAATAGAGGAGAGAGCAGAGGAAAGCACTGGGACCCCATGGAGCCACACCATCACCGGAAGGAAGTCAGGCATTCCTTCATGTATTGCTTTTCCTCCCTCTATCCCACCCCTCCCTGCTGACGTATCCAAAAGCCCACACATCCAAACTCCACAACAGCACCCCTTAGGTGTCAGTTTGCACATCACTTCATCAGTCCCTCATGATTAACCTGGGCCCCTAATAGTGCCCTGCATTTCCCCTTTCAAAATGGCTGTCAGTATGATTTCTCATTGTTGACTTCTCTGCCAACTCGCAAGCTCCACGAGGGAAAGAGCGATCTTCTCACTGCTGTAGCCCTAGCACCCAACACTGGGTCTGAACTCAGTAAACTACTCTTAAATGAGTAGGACACTACACAGCCAAATAAGTGTTAACACTCAAATTCCCGAAAATTCTACAGTACCGGGCGCCTGGGTGGCTCAGTTGGTTGGGCGACTGCCTTCAGCTCAGGTCATGATCCTGGAGTCCCTGGATCGAGTCCCGCTTCGGGCTCCCTGTTCGGCAGGGAGTCTGCT